CGTCGTGGAGAAACCACGCCCCGAATTTTCGTGCCCCGGGTCTCAGTTCAAAGCCCTCAGTTCCAGGATGCGGGCTGTAGCCCAGTTCAGTGGCGCGGGAATGGCGCCTTTTGCACCGCTCCCGTGCCTGGGCGCCTGGTTCCTGCTCACTCAGGGAGGGACCTTCACCTCAGTGAGGACCTCCGCGCGTCTCCCCGCAAGCCTAGGTCGTCTCCCCGTAAGCCTAGGTCGCAGGCGCGGGGACCTGGGCAGCCGCGATCCCGGTCTGCACTTGCTTTTCAAGCGCGCCAGCGCGCCGCGTTTCCCGCGCAGCTTACCGGCAGCCCGGGCTGTGTGCGCGTCTCCCGGGGTCTTTGTTCTTCTCTAATGGCGCCCGGAGCCGTTCGCTCACCGCCGCGGCGGATCCTGCAGGGTTCGCCTCAGCTCCCGTTCACGGGGTGTGGTGGCTGCAATAGTTCCTTTCCGCTCACAGTCCCGCTTGCTGCGTCGTTTGTTCTTGTTGGTTGTTTTGGTTTGTTGTTTCCTCCTGTCTGCCAGTTGGAGAGTGCCGCCTCTGTGGGCGGGGGAGGGGAGCAGGGTTCTGCGCTTCCCTCCCTTCTAGTCCTCTTTTATGGCCACTTTCTTCTTCGGGCAGTTCGCTGGCGTCACCCGTTTATCTTCCGTGTCCCAGTTCTCACTGGGACCTGCCGCTTTTCCTCCCTATTCACTTTTTTTAATGGGAGATCTTACTCGCAGCGTCTCCTCGCCGCCATGTTAAACAGCAATAATTTAAGTTCACTCTTGAAGGATAGTTTTGAAGGATATGAAATTCTGGAATGACTTTCTAAAACCAGTACTTTAAGGATATTATTCTATTATCTTTTGGTGTCTATCATAATTGTTGAATAAATTGCTGTGAAATAACTGTTGTTTTGCTGGTTATAAATCTGTTTTCTATCAGTTTTGCAGTTGCTTTATTTAAACACTGTGCACATGTACACGCACACATGTATAAAATGAAATGGATACTCAGAATTGCACAAATCTATGTGGACAGTTTAACTACCATCCAAGTCAAGAAACAGAACATTGTTCATACCACATTAGTCTCTTATATAACCTCCTGCTCCAGAAGTAACCATTACCCTGATTTTTAGGGTAATAATTTCTTGTTTGTTTTGTTTTGTTTTTGCTTTCAAATTAACATCCAACAGTACATTACAACAGCCTGTCCAGCTTTGCAATGTTCCATATAGCACCCTTCCAACTGGTAACCAAGTTGTCTCCCAGAGAAAGTTCCTGGTGGCTGGAGAGTAATGAGAAGAACTTGTCACAGTACATTCTTATACCTTTAAAATTCTACATGTGAATTAAAATATTAAGAGTGGTTCCCTGGAAGGGGAAGTTGGATAAAATAGTAAAACATTTTGAAAACATCAAACAGATACTAAGAAACTGAGAAATCAATGGGTCAAAATCTGGCAAAAAAAAAAAAACCTGCAGCATTCAACACCACTTTATTGTCTTCAGAATACTTGCCAAACTCATAAGGCTAGAAAGGCAAATATCAATCCTCTCCACCCAGTTCAACAGAGGGATTCTCATAAGCCACCTTCTTCTTTAAGCTAGGACCCAAGGAGCTACACCCTTCATACACAGTTTCTGACCTGGCCATGCAATAATTTCAAGCCACCTAAATGATCCACAAAACCTCAAGGCATGAATTTAAATTAAGGAACTCCAGGACTACTTGTACCCCCAGAGACCTGTCAGAAGCAAATGAAAATCCCCCTGAAGGAACCATCACCCTAAGCCTTTTTCTGGACCATACAAATTGGTTGCAAGCAATGGAGCTATGATTTTAAACCAAGCTATTTTGACACCCACCCCTTTCCCTGAGCCCATGTTCTTAACTTTACTAAATTGCCATGGGGAAAAAGAAAGTGTGGGGCACAGGATGTCACATAAACCAAAGCCACGAGCTGTTTGGGTTTCTTATCAAAATTCACAGAAGCTCTCAGCCAGCACAACAGACATCTCTGCACAGGTGAGCTCACTCCTTTTCATGACTTTCCTAGTCCATTTTTGCACAATTTTATTGGGCCAAACTGAAATCTGCCTCTAATTTCTACTCACTGGTCCTTATCTAGTCTTCTGCAGTCTCAAGTTTCAATCTGTCTCCACCAAGAGCCCTTCATATATTTCAATCTTGAGGTCACCCCCACACATTTCCTTCTCCAGGTAAAACAGCCTTTTGATGTTCTGTGAAAACTCAATTTATACCTTTTTAGCTCCTTCCTGTTATATAGTCACGTATGTGAATGGTTGCTTGGCATCTGGAACTAAACACAATACTCAGGCATGGTCTGAAAAGCACAGGGTCCAGCAAGACTATCATCTACCATGTTCTGCACTTAACAGCTGCTGCAGTATGAAAAACAGCAGTATAGAAAACCATGCTTTCTTTAAGGCATCTGAGTGAGCGTTAGCTGAGATGTCTAAGTGTTTTTCAAGATGTCTCACACGCCCTACCCTAACTTCCTTTGCCTGGATGGTTCCTACTGGACACAACCCCAGCTAAACCTCAGTCAGCATCACATCTTCAACCATGTTCCAAGTTAGGTTCCTCTGTTTTAGGTTCCCATCACCCTTATAACAGTAAACAATTATTTACAAAATTACTCATTTAATCACTCTTCTCTACTAAACAAAAAGCTCCATGAAGGCAAGGATTAATGATTGGGGGGAATAAATATTATAGCCTTTTTTTTTTTTTTTTTTTTTCATTTAAATGTATTCCCACTTCCAAGAGGGCGCTGACACTGGCGTGCTTTCTCCCTGCAGCCTCTTGCGGCCCAGATACAAGCCTGGAGCTTTTTCCTCTTACTACCCTCTACTTAGGCAGAACTAGTATTACCTCCCACCTTGTTAGAGCACTTAGTCATCTGTGCCTGCTGAGACATTATGGGGGTCTGTCACTTGACATTTATTGCCTCTTATCAGGGGCCCACCCTTCTGGAAGCTACTGCTTCTGAGGGTTCCAGGGCAGTGAGGAGAGCAACCGTCTTGCCCAAGCTTAAGCAACTTAAGCATTTGCCAAAATGCTTTTAAAGTTGACTCAAAGGCACAGACATAAAGATTGGAAAAGTTACTTAACACTGCAATCTCCACAGCCATTCAAATCCTATTAGAAACAGAAAAGAGATGATATTGATCTCAGACAGCTTGTTTTGACTCTTTCAGCTTTTATGGAATTGCCAAGAGGTACCTGCTGGGTTCACAGAATTTATGGAATAGGAAAAGAATGAAGTTTATATAAAAAGTCATCAACTACTTGGAGGAAAATATTCAAACCCATAGTTAAAAGGGCAGTATAAACATAGAACCATCCTGCCTTTGGAGGAAAATGTCAAATTGTGGTTCAATCACAAGGACAAAGAGTGGCCTAGTTTATTTCAATTCTACTTGAATATTACCCTTTGATATTACTGTACAAAGCTCAGAAATGCTGATACCCCTGGCCAGTATATTCCAATGCACTTTTTATCCAAAGCAGCATAAAAAAGCTTTAGATGGAATGAGCTACTGTACATCAGCTCTGACCCTCTATGTACACAATAATGTGTTACTTACTAGTGTTTGGGAATACATTCTCAAAAAGTTAGGAATCCTCAATTATTCAGGGAACTGCAGGGAAGTGCAGTGGAGACTTGCTGGTACAGTGGTGGTGGGTATGGTGTGGCAACACACCTTGAAGAGGTGTGAACTTGTGCCCCTAAAACAGTGATTTAAACCAACATTACCTCAATAAAAACAAACAAAAAAGAGCCTCCTTAGTAGTACAGAGGTTAAAGTCTCAGTGCTATCAAGCTATGGCCAGCCACTTGGCATGAGTTTGATCCCTGGCCAGGGAGGTACCTACATGGTGCATCAGACTTCTGTCTCGCCCGCTGCTCCTCTCAGCAGTGTAGCTCCGCCTATTCTGCTCCCCACTCTGTCTCTGGTAAATCCTCTCAACCCCCTCTCACACCTCTGGCCTATACTCAAGTTCTTATATGCATAAATAAATAAAAATAAATATTTAAAACAAACAAAAAACCCAATCTCCATTGTCACAATGCCCCATTTCTTGTGAAAACCCTGTAATTCCTTAGAATTACGATCTTAGGACTCTTGCTGATTTTTCCTCAGCATTTTTTTTTTAAAGATTTATTTATTTATTTATATAAGCACTGGGTACAGTCAGAAGTGCGGGAGAGTGAGAGAATTCCCTAGAGCCAGAGCGGGGAGTAGAACAGGCAGACTGACGAAATACACTGCTGAGGGAAGCAGCAGGCGGCAGGAGAGGTTGGCGTGCCATGTGGGACCCTTGCCAGCGGCCGGGGATCGAACCGGCGTTGCACAGGCTGCAGGCAGCTTCACAGCCCAGGGCTCTACCGCTGCGCCACCGGGGAGGCCCCTCAGCATTTTTTAATTGCCTTCTTGAGTTCATTCATACTCAAGACATTGTTTGCTATCATTACTTGCTAGTATTTTGAAACGTTCATAAAAAGCTAGAAAATCATTCTCCAATTTCTGGGCTTAAAATACTCAAGACAAAGTCAAATACTACTAATATTACAAAAGCAACAGCACATCGCCTTTAAGTACCGCATGCTACATGGTGTGATAGAGCTGTGAGCTCCGTGTCCAGTGAGTGGAAGGACTGCTTTATCCAAACTGAGAGAATTTCCTAACAAACAGACATTCAAGGCAAACTTAACATTCTATATTGCACTAAAACCTCAACATACTGGGCAAACAGCTTTTTAAGTCGCTTATGTCAGCATTCAGAGGCATCTGTAAGTAGAGTCTGGCCTCAAGTAAATAATATTCCTGACTTCCTGTGTCTTCTAAAACCATGACAGAAGCACTGAGATCCCTCGATGGGGTCTTCTACCAAAGCAGCTCCACTTACATGCCTTAGTTTTAGTTCAGTATGTTGTTATATATTAGTATACACTATAGTTCGGTACAAGATATCACAGACTGAAAACCAAGGCCAGGCATCTCTTAAGTTTATTGGAGGATTCTTTGTTGGGAGAGGAAAGATCACAGAATTAAACAATTGATAAAAGATAAAAGAACAATTAATAGCAAATTATTACAAAAGCAATTTCTGAAATGTTTATTTTGAGCCACCACTAAAACAAAATTTTAGCGCATCCTGAAGTTCATATTTTGGTAATTAAACATAATAAATTACCGAAAAGCAAAAAAAAAAGTTACTATTCTACAAGATTTTAATGTAATAGTTCAGCACAGTCAAATAAACAGTTACAATTATTCAAAGATGCTTTTCCTATATATCTGGTATATTAAACAAGAATATGAATATTTTTAATACTGCACAAGTAACCAAAGGTAGCAAATCCAGCAATATTAAAATGTGATATTAAATATTATTCAAACATTACAACAAAACAATGAACTTCTAGAATTACAACTCTATTCATGTGAAAGGAATGTATATGAACGGTAAAAAACAATAAATAAATAAAGTGACAAGAGTGACTAACACTGTATCTGCATTTTCAGAGCAGGAATACAGTAAATGAGTAAATGTGCGCCAGGGTCTTTTGATAAAAATGAGGAGAAAAAAGCATTTCATGTTAGCACAATTTTATAATCCTCACTGAAGCTCTAATTCTCTTGTGCTGGTGACAGGTGGACAGGGTTTCAAATGGAAAATACTTTCCCTACACCCTGAGTATGGATACCTTGATTAAAAAAAAAAAAACTCTATGGGTTGTTTCTTATGAAAAACATAAAATTTAAAACAATATACTTATGGGAAACACAATATTACTTGGGGAAGAAAGTTAAATAATTAACTAAGCTGACAGTTGAGTCTGGACTGTGATGAGTCAAGGTTAAACTTTGCATTTGAAGGCTATACACAGTGTCAAAATCAAGTGGTTAAATGATCTTTCACTTTATCAATGGTACATTCAATAAGTAAATTCTCCTACCCGCTTAAAACCCTTGTTTAAGCAAAGTGAAAGGACTATAAATTGAATTAATTATTTCAGAAAGGGTAACTGGAACATTCCTCAATGTATAAAGATGTTATCACACATATACACTGAGTGAATACTCTCAAAGGTTTTATTATTCCATTAAACTATATCAAACCATCCAACAGATACTGTCATTTTCTTCTAGATTTATAAATGAGTTTTTTTTAATAAATCAGAATATATTATCAAGATCAACATTAATGATACCTAAAATATAAAATGTCATTTAAATTTGGCTTGGGAAAAGAAGAGTATGAAGTAATTGCTGTATTTCAATCTGAAATAATGTTCTACACATCCCCCCCTGCCCTCTAGGGGCCTCATTTACTTTCTTTCCACAGATTATTTGATGGTTCTGAAACTGATAAAGAGAGAATTCAGCTCAATACACAATTCTGAATAAGACATGATATTCCCAAGGACAAAATGCACAATGGCAATATTAAATGTTATAATATAAATGTCAAGTAGATTTGTAATAAAGACAGTGAGAGCTGTTCTCAACAGAGTTGTTCTGATGATTGAGCAATCAAGCAGATCTACAACATCTTTGGAAAATCACAAAGTGCCTTTAAAGAAAGTTAAGTTTAGACTGTACTTGATTAAAAGATACTGCTAGCTCTAAAAACAACATTTCTCTTTATATAAGGAAATTTAACTCATGCTTTTTTTCATTTCTGCCAATACTTGATATTTTTCTCTGGGCCTTTTACTGAATGGATACAAGTGTGGAGTTCCACTGTAATTATTTCTATGCATGCTCATACCTATTGACTGATCTGTCATTATGTAATGGGTAAATAATGGAACTCTAAACCCAGCATGTCTCCAGAAAAATGCAAAGGAAACAAAGATATAAGGAAAATCTTAACTCAGAGTGATTATTACCATAAGAGAAATAAACATAAATATTTTCAAACACAGAAAGCTTTACAAGACTAATATAGTCACTTTAGTTTTAAAAGAAATCCAGAACTCAGTTTGCTGTTAATCAAACAGGTACATACATCCAAGTTACTAAACACAATTTGATAATTATATACTTGCAAAAACTGAAACTAAACTTAATAATCTTCTAATCCGCGTTATAATTAACAATCCTGTTTAGTGCTGCTGCACCTCAGGTTGTAAAAGTTAAAATAAAAAGAAACAATTCTGGTCCTACATTTCCTATATTTCTCTATCTTAAAAAATACTTGAAGAAACTTAAGGAAAATTAATTTTTAAGGCTTGCTCTATTTCATTATCTTAAATTTGAGGAAAAAAACAAATGTAAGCTCAAAATATTTAAATAGCTTTTGATGTTTTTTCTTAAAATGCAAATTGAACCCTTCACAATAAAATAATTTTTCTACCATAATTATGAACTTAAAATAATGTAAATGCCCTTATTCCTTGCCCCTTAGCCAATGTCTTCTATATGTATCGCTTCCAGCGTAGTCAATGCTCAAGAGAAAAGAAAATGTAATGGAGCAAAACCAAAGACCCCAACAAAAAAGTGATTTAACCTAGAGTACAAATCCACTACTAGCAGAAGAATCAAAACTTCAAACACACATACTCTCACATCCAAAAATCAAGACACAAGCTTAGTCCCTCTATTCAAGTTAACTTGCAGTTTCTGAAGATAAAGTAGTAGGAAATGCAGAGCACAGGAAGATCATGGCAGAGAACTTTACAAAATAGTGAGATATATTTCATTGGGAGTGGGGAAATTACTTTTCTAAGTCTACAAAAAGCTTATCCTTGCTAAAGCGGATAAGCTTTCCACTTAAAAAAAAAAATCCAACAATTAAAACCATTATTGGGCTTCTCTAAATAAATTCCCATATTCACATTACTTTTTTTTAATTTCAACATGTTTTACACCTTTATTTTCATTTACAGGGTAAGTTGGGGGCCCAAGATAGTCAAAATGAGAAAGAAAATTCTTAATGCACAATCATTATAGACATTTTATTTTAAAGCACCTTTTTAAATGTTAACAGTGGGTTTCTAAGCAAGAAAACAGTAGAGGGCACAAATCACTAACAAGGTTAAAGAACTTCTTTACACACACATACATTTTCATGCCAGAACCATTGGCAACACTGGCAAATAATGTCTTTTTAGGAAAGACTGGGGAAAGTATCATTTGTGGTATTTATATAAATCTGCTTCTAAAAAATTAAATGGTTTGGGAAGTCAAAAGGCTACCAATAGATGAGCTATTTAAAAATAAAAACAACTGACCTTAAAAGTAAGACCAAAAAAACTATCAGAAAAAAAGTTAACTTCAATGCTGTTTTTTAATGTCAAATTAGTGATTAACAGGATATCATCTGTTTGCAAAGAAGCAAAATTATTAACTATCCCTGGAACCTATCCTCAGTCACCTCAGTGCAGTTCCCAGCAGCACTATTCAAATACAGAAAAGAACACCATCAGTCAATGTCCCTGAAAACCTCATGGTCACGCCCTCCTTCATACACCTGTTCTTAGGATCTTAACACAGGACACAAGTGTACAGAAGGATAAACAAAGAAAATTATTTTGACAGAGATTACAAAAGTGTGCACTATATACACTGCGTGATGACACAATGCACTTCATTTTCCTCCCAATTCATTTTAAATGTTAATACTCACTATTCAAAGTGTTCCCTATCCATCTTTATCTTTCTTCCCATCCCCCCAAACAATAAGATACTGGACTGGAGTTGGTTCTATGCATTTTCCAAGAGCCAGTCAAATAGTGACTTGCACCTCTCCTCACTGGAAGTTTTCTCCATCACTTCATAGTATTTCAGCACAGCCTGGAGGAGGTCGCCCACTTTCCATCCTTTTTCTTGTAACTGCTTTGAAAGCTAGTAAGAAAAACATCAAGTCAAACATTAACAAAGTAAAATTTTTAACAATAAAGTTTTCATTTTCATTTTTCATATCAGATAAACTAAGACCTACTGTTTGCAATTAAAGTTGCCCAATTATAATAAGGTCTTCTTCCCAAAACCACAACCAATTTTCTTTTCTGCCCTTTGTAAATACATCTCCTCCACAGAATGACACTTTGGGGATGGCTGAAGACAGAACTCCACAAACTTCACCCAGAGACCTATCTGTGTGGGAGTATAGAGGTTAAATTTCTACAGGAAATTCTTAACTAAATACATCTGCCACACCCTCAGTTAGAATCATAAAACAATAAAGCCAATGTCAAGCTTAATAAAAGGATGTGGTTTGTCTTCCACAACATACAGTGTGGTTTTTTTTCTGGATTACATACTCTACCCTCAATGGAAACTTGGCTTTCTTAAGTTAAGAAATGCTAATGTTTCAACAAAAATGTAACCAAAAAAGTAAGTAACTGTGGGTTTAAATAATTACTATATAATTACCAATCAGAACATATCTTCATGTTTTTCTATTAAGTACAACTACCACAATCAATATCAGAACTTTTTTATCACACCAAAAGGAAAAAACCCTACCCATTAGTAACCAGTGGCACTTCTCTCTCCTCAATGCCCTCAACTCTAGGGAATTACAAATCTATTTTCAGTCTCTACATTTGTTTCTTCTGGCCATTTCAGGAATCATGAAATATATGGTCTTCAGTCATGTGTTTCTTTCATTTAACATAATGATTACAAAGTTCAATGTATAGCATGAATGTACTTCATACCCTTTTTGACAGATAATATAGCCCACTGCATGGACATACCACTTTCCTGACCCATTGAGAAGTGCCACGACGTTCTCCTGTGTGACAGGGAGATGAGGTTCCTATAACAGGCACCATCAGATTCAGCTCTGCCTGAGGCTGTTCTTCACCCTCAGTTTATCCAAGTCTACATGACAAATGTGTGCTTCCCTGAGGTCAGTTCTCACTCTCTGCCTCCTCTTCTTATCTCTACCTTCCCCTTGACAATTTTTTCCCTGAACATCCCTTCCTATATTATTTTTCCTTCTGTCCCAAACAGAAACCTCAACTGGGAAAATCTGGAAAGTCTAAGTAAAAACAAACAATAAACTAAAAATTACTTTCACACTACGCCTCTTTTACATACTTCTTTCAACAATATCTTCATAAATTCAGAACCAGAAATCAAAACTAACTAGACTGCCGTTTTGTTGGCTATACATTGTTTTTCACCCTCTAATAAGATTAAGCCAAAGTTTTAATAAGAAAATTCTGGGACAAAGACCTAAGATTGGAAACTGACAATTCTGACTAATCAGGTGAGCTTTCAATAAAAGTAACAATTAGTGAATCAAATCTGAATGTTTTATTATTAGGAGCCTATGAAATATTCAAAGTGGCCCATTATCTCTTATTAGATGTCTAAACTTTCATTAGCGTTTGATTATGCTAGCTTCTCATACTAATGAAACTGGATTAACAGAGACATGCTAATTACTAGGTACAATTATGAATCAATTAATACAAAAAATAACTCAGTATTTTCATACAAACACTTATACATGACACCTAATTTTGAAAACTTAGTATGTGCCAAGCACCAAATCACAATTTTCCCCCACAGTATTACATTTAATCCTCACAAGCCTCTGTAAAGTAGATTCTATACTCATTTTCACAGTGCAGAGAAAGAAACTGGCTGGCGAACCTGCCCAAAGTTGCACTCCTGGAGAGTGGCAGAGCTGACAGCCTAGCCCAACTACTGGACCCTCACCTAACCATTTAACTACTCTGTTATCAATGGGCATCTAAGTAGGTCAACTGCATGGTACAGAATATCACAAATGTATCCTCACAACCATCCTCTAAGACAGGTACTTACTAGTATAAACTCTTTCTTTGCTGAGTCATGAAAATAAAGTTCTGCAACTTCAGCCTCAGAGGCAATGAGCCACTGAAGAATGATCCTTAGTTGGGGGTCCACTGTGCACGGCTCCATGTCAATATTTGTAATTAGTAGAGTCTTCCCATCTTGCTCCAAACCTATATTTAAATTTAAACAATATGATGTAAAATTCATGAGCTCTCAACACTCTGGTCTCTTAAGGACATACAGACATTTTCCATTTCTTTAGAGTCCAATGCATGCTGGGGGGGAAAAATCCAACTTTTCTTCACCATACTACAATATCAACTAAGACATTTCTTTGAAAGGACAAACTAATGCTAGAACAAAGGATTAAGTTTGATCACCTACTAAGAAAACAAATGCAGAACATATGCCATTAATTTGTGTCAAAAAATGACACATATTTATGGATCTCAGGATGCATAAGGAAGCTTTCCTAACTAAGAAAAATAACAGTAGCAACAAACACTTCATATGCTCCAAGCTCTTTGTACATATATAAACTCCTCTCATTCCCACCACCATGCTGTGCGCTAGCAACTATCATCATCTCTATTTCACAGGCAAGGGATCTGAAGCAGAGAGAGATCTGGCATCTTGCAGCAGGGAAGTAGCTCAATCCGGATATGAACACAGGGAGAATAAAATGTCAAATCAACTACATATACCCCAAAAGCCAGGCCAGGGAATTATCTGGTGCGTCCCTATTATAATTAAGATGTTGCACTCAACTTTATTTTCTTTTTATGAAAATTACATTTTCAACATAAAGAATCCATGTTGACTGCAAAACTAAGGACCTGTGGCTCAAGGTCATGTGTTGAACACTCCTGATTAATGATGGCTGAGCAGTAAGCGGTGCTGAAACTTGAGTCCTCCCACACAGGGGGAAGCAGTGGGACATGGCGGCAGACATCACACCAATTTGTACCAGTAAAAGAAATTTCCTGATGGATGTTCCTAATTCATTTTAACAGTTTGCAGGGCATTCCAGACCACTACTAATCATTTTTAGGATTTGTGTTGGCCCTAATTGTTAATGTAAAAAAATCTGTTCATGGGGCCTCCCCTGGTGGCGCAGGCGGTTGAGCGCCACGCTGTGAAGCTGTCCGCAGCCTCTGCAGTGCCAGGTTCAATCCCAGCCGGCTGGCGAAGGTCCCACATGGTGTCTCAGACCTCTCCTGTCTCGCCCGCTGCTCCCCTCAGCAGTGTATTTCATCAGTCTGCCTGTTCTGTTCCCTCACTGTCTCTGGTGAATCCTCTCACCCTCCCGCGCATCTGGCCTGTACCCCGGTTCTTGTGTAAATGAATAAATAAATCTTTTTAAAAAATAAATAAATAAAAACAGGCAAAAAGACTTTAAAAAAAAAATCTGTCCATGTTATTCTCTTAAATCAAATGCATTTTCTTTTCCCTCCTCTCTTCCCACTGATTCCCATTCAAAAATGGTTCTGGTACACCATGGTACCAGAATGCCTTGGCCATTTTGTAAATCCTGCAAGGGCCATGGAGTTAGAAACAAAGCACACATGCTTTTTTGTTCAGGACTCTAAGGACAGAACTCCTGGTTGCCTGGTCTAAGTGACCTTTTATATCACTAATACTAGTAAAAAAGAGAAAGGCAAAACCTGCAACTACAAGCAACAACAAAATAAGCTCTGTTACTTTAGGGTTTCCATAATTTTCTCCTTCTATCAATTCACATCAATTTTCCTCCTAATTTATCAGTTTCAGTTTCTATTTAACAAATTTAATAGTTGGCACAGTTTTCTATATAATGAGATGACTATAATCTCAAAAGCTGAGTAATGACATAGCTACATATATTTAATCTATGATTTCTATGTACTCACAGAACTCTAAAGACAATGTCATTTCTTAACAAAGTGGAGTAATAACTAGTTCATTAGAGAAAAGACTTACTACATATATTTGTGCCATGTAGAACATTTAGAATAACTTTGTTCACAAGTAATAGGGGAAAGGACACTACTTTTCTAGACAAAGTCAACAGTTTTATACTCAGCAAAAATATGACAAATATTAACTCAACAAATAACTGAAAATATTGCCCTACCTCTACCTTTATATCCAATAAGGGAAAATTTACTTCTAGGAACCCAATAAGAAGAACGTCTACAAAGCAGGATTATAAGCAAAAACATGATAACCTTAGATCTGAGGACTTCAGGCTGAAAATAGGCACATGGTTTTCCTAAGCAAGAAGAACATAACTGGTATTGATAAAACTGACTGCAAACTCAAGTGTCATAAAGTACACTTCAAGAAACTGTTTTGGCAATTTTCTCATTTTGGCCACTTCTAAAGAAATAATAACCAAAAACTCACTGACTCAGAAACAATATTACAAATAGTATAAATACGTTTTTGTGTGCCACTCTAGAGAAGACATTACTGGTATTTTCATAATTAAAACAGAATTTTGAAAAAAATTCTACAACCATCCAGATACAACAAAAACTCAACTTCAATGTGAAGTTTCTGAATTCACTCATATATTCAAATACATTTTGAATTAAGGATTGCTAGTTGCAGTCCAGAACTCAATGACCAGTATCTCTAATATTTACATATTTGAAACCATATTCAGTAAAGGAAGAAATGAAAACTTTCTTCAAATGTGTGAGCATGTGAGTGTAGGACTGGAGTTAGGGGACAGAAGAATTGATTTGAAAATATCTTTTGTTTTAATCGATTGATTGGTCTGTTGGAAAAGTCATCATGCACTTATGCTTGAAAAACAGAAAATATATGTCATGACTTTTCAGACAACCCAATATTTAAGACTGACATTGAACACTAATTCTAAAAGTTACTGGTTTAGTGGGACAATGCACTGATATGTGCCATAATTATATGAAACTATAATACAAGGATTTTACATTTTGAAAATACAGAGAGAGATTATCATAAATTCTCAAATAACTGAATAATTCTTTTAAGGCAGTTCAATCTTTACGCCAATTCTTTTAAGACAGTTCAATCTTTAGTTTACCAATCAAATATTACAAACTGCTCAAGACAGGACACAACACTGGATAAATCAGTTCAAGAATACCCTGATTTGGAATGTAAATACCCTGATCTAGCTGATGAAAATGAGCAAATACAAAACATTAAGGACTCTTCTACAGAAGGTTAAGCAAAAAACATGCAAACACTATGAAAAACAAATTGTCAATTTACCTTCTCCATCATCCTCATCCTCTTCATCTTTATCATCAGGCTCATCACTTTTCCAATAAAATGGCAGAAGCAGTTAAAAAAAAAAGCTTTAATTAATAACAGAATAAACCCGATTCTTAAAATGTTGTAAAGAATGATGTTACAATATGACATGGCATTTAAAAAGAGGAGAAATGACAATCAAAAAGGAAGCTTTGCTTCTCACACCATTTCATGTTAAAGTTAAAAAATTGCAAATGATGCCTAAGAGTTTCTTATCAATAACCAAATGCTCTATCTGACCATGACATATAGACAGCCAAGTAATTTCACAATAAAAATTAATTTAAAATAATTTAAAGTCAAAATATTCTAATTGGGTTTTGATAATACAGCATTCAAATATCACAGAATGCCATGAATAATTACTTATTAATGCTTCTATTGACATTTATACAGTTTTAACATAGTAAAAATTTTTTTCCTAATATATGGACTAGAAATACATACAAAAACAAAAAAGCAAAAAAACAAAAACAAAAACAAAACCAGAAATCCTGTAGGAAGCAAGCTCTTTTTAAATGAAACAATCATTGGTAGAATGAAAAACAGCAAGCGGAGCAACACATGCATAAAAGTAACACATTTTGCAAGTAGATGTCAGTCATATCTTAGCATAATTGAATTTTTTCATTAGATGTAAACTGATCAAGCAGAATCATGTCAAAAATGTAGGAGAAAAGCAAGTTGATACATATTGGCACTGTAATCCACATTCTTTTACAAATATGACATCATGCATTAGTGGTGAAAGACTCATCAGTTTTTAAGTTTCTGGACTGGACCAACCTGTCTGATGTTGGAAAGGATAAATTGTCCTCATACAAATCTCCTTCTAAACCAAGACTGCTCCAGCTACTGCTGTTACCATTACTGCCAGAGGAAGAAAAGAACAGAGCTGAACTAGAAAATGAATAATAAAAAAAGATCTTGGTTTTCCTTGGTACAGCTTCTCTCAGTGATAAGTGTGGATGTTCTGAAGCTGCCACCACGGGGTGGCACACCCACAGTGCTAGAGACCATCACAGCTACTATGAAAGGTATCTGACAGCTTTGGAGACCTGAGAATTTTGTTTTGTTTTTTTAACTTCATCATGAAAACTATTCTAAATTTATATTTATTTTACAGATTAAGGCAACAGAATGACTTTTGTGACAGCAAATGAATGCATGAAATAAAAACTTTCACAATGAAATAGTCTCTGGCAAATCTTGCAAAATAATTTGTGAAAAGCCAATACCTTCCGTCTGGATAAAGTTTTAAAAAAAGAAAGACAGGTTAACATGGTCTCAGGCTCTCAGTCTTCAAGATAGTGAGAACAGTGATGACCTGGGTTGAGGGCAGTGGGAAATGGAAAATAGGATTGAAAGCTCAGTCCCAAATAGACCCTAAAAGTCCAAATAGGCCTTTCTAACTACTTGCAGAGAGATTTTCTGGCTTTAAAATATTCTTATTATGTCAATGACCATCATTTCATGTATTACGAATAATTTAGCATGAGACAAGCTACATACATTTTCTCCAGAATATTGAATAGCCAAGGCTTACTCAATATTACACTTGTCTGGTTGGCCAGTCACTAATGCCATACAGGTAACTACTGATACTATCCTAACCAAAAGGAAAAAGTAACTATATTCTAAAACTGAGGCAAAACAATAAAAAAAAAAAAAGCAACTGTGTTAGAAACAAAATTCAATTTTCAGAATAAAACCTAAAACATGCAATTTTTAAAAATTCTGATAATTAGTAAGCATGTTAGTTTGCAGTGATAAGTGGCTATATTTTCCAGTATTAGGCTAGATAACTATAAAAACTGATTTTTGGTCCTAAAAAATGAATTAACATAAAATCATTTTACATGCATCAGTAAATGTTGACAAGGTTACCAAAAAGGAATGATTTAAAAGTTGTAAATAACTTCTAAATAATTTACATATTTAAATTACTCGAACACTTACAAGCTGTCACAAACCATAATTTATTAGTAAGTTACAAATGAGCAGTTTCTCAATATATGTTAAAAAAAAATAGCCCTATTATAAAACCATTAGAACAACCAATTTTGCCCATCTCATCTACTGTGAAACCAAAATGAGAATATGTGAACTAGAGAATGGTCAAACACCATAAGCCAAGGACAAAAATAAGAGACCTGAAACATTACATTCATTTATACTAGTAATTAATAAAGGGGGGGAAATGAGAAAATTAAAATTCTTACCCATATCCTAGTCACAAGAGTGAATCCTCCATTTAATTAACAATAAGAATCCATTACCTAAGTATTAGGTGAACATGAAAAGAAATAACAGCTAGAAATATAAAGACTAAAATTCAAACTCCCTCTGTCTAATCTCACTTCATTCACCTTCTTCTGTGTCCCTCAAAACTGGGTCAGATTTGAAGTCAGTTATTTATGAAATGCTACTTCTACTAGGGTGATCATGTAATTTTCCATCTAACCAGGACACTTGGAAATGAAAGAAATCACAATAACCAGATCAGAACAGCAGAAGTAAATCAGATGTCCAGAACAAAGTGAGAGAGGTAATGATGAGACTATGTTAACCCAACATAAAACAAAACTTAATTTCTTTGTGTAATAGTGTTCATACTTCATTCTTGAACACTGTCCTGCCTTTATCACTTTCTGTTCTAACTGGTCAATTTCTATGACTACAAACTAGTGGTAGTCAAGGACTAAAATTCTGTCTCAAGGTTTTTGGCCCTAAGAAGAGAATGTCAACTCTAACATGTCTTATAAAAATTATTTCAAAAATTCTGTAAGTTCAGCCCCATCTCTTACCTAATCTAATACATAACTTCTAAGAAATCCATAAACTCCCAAGTCATACTTGAGACTCACATTCACAGAGCAATTCTCCTGCCTGATCAAATACTTAAACATTCCTCTTAAACACTTGTGAAAATGTGATGTTATTTGTTCTTTTTAACTGTGCCCCACTATTGAACCTACTAGAGTGAAAAGTACAAGGTTTGTCCAAGCCACTAAAGTCTCTTATCACCTACCTTGAACTCTGTACCAGAAAATTACAGTTCCTGTATCAGACATCATCAAAAAACAAAATATAAAGTCATGTATCTTAAGTGTAGTCTCAAATCACCTGCATTAATGTCATCTGAGGAGCATGACATCCATGTAGATTTTGGGGATCCTCCAATGATCTAATAAATCAGCCTCTGGGAGGCAAGGCTCTGGAAAATGTATAACCAACAAGCACACCACCAACCATGGATGAGCCCCACTGACTTTTACTTTGTGCCTGAACCTGAATTCCATATATCATCATTAATTCTCATTCAGACTGGGTAAATTAAAGCCACAGGTATTTTTCTGACAAAATGTTATCAAGCCAGGGTTACCCTATCCTGAATTCAAGTAAGTCATTTTGTAGTGCTAAATGTTAAAACAGAATCTGATTTGGTCTTTTTGAACCTTGGTTCTGTTAATGAAATTGTCTTTTCTTCTCTCTTTTGCTAAAGAGAACAGAACCAAGGACAGAGCCTGGTCACGTGTCCAATGTTCGACGTGTCCATTTCTCAATTTAATTAAATAACACTCTGCACAGAGTTGTTCAACAGGCCACAATCCTGCAACTAGCCTCTAGCCCTAGTTCTCCCATTGTAACACCATTTCCTAAGCAACAATGTCAACCATTACTGAAATTCTAGAAGCCTGTGTTTCTCAAAGATGAGAGAATGTAAGTGCTACTATTCTATTCTAGATGAAGTTATGGGAAAGGGTCAAATTATGATTTGTAATATTACCCTCACTATCTGCTGTCAGTTTTAAAGACTGCCCCTTTCGGATGTAGATTTTAAGAAAGATTGGTGGTTTACATAGCATTTTAAGAGGCTATGACAAAATAGATGCTTTATAAAAATATTAAAGCCTACTAGTCAAGCCAAGCATCAAACAAAATACTCTGAAATGATGCGCTCTAACAGGTAAAAAGCCGTTTCCTTTCCTTATCTCCTCCTCCAACAGTCTTCTAACTCCCTCCCTCCCCTCCCTTCCTCTTAAGTCAATTCCAAGGGCTCTCTCTACTCAGTTGAAGCCTCAAGAATCCTTTCCACATACATCCAAAACTGGAAGTATGTATGCTGAGAAACTTTTTGTCTTCTTAGATTCAGGTATGCATGTATTCATTATTTCCAATTATCAGTTAATGTGGATAAAGATTTATGGAACTGTACAAGTTAGTCAGGAATGTCTTTAGAGAGTTAAGAATATAAGAATCAAATGTATCATGATTAATAAAATATTCCAAAGACTATGAACAAAATCAAGAAAAGTTATGCATAAAATATGTGCCTTCTGCTGCAAAAAAATAAACCCCTATTTTATACAGTTTCCATCACTCAAATATAAATGTTCCAGGTTATTTATTCCTGCATAGCAGGACAATTAAGAAATCCCTCTTCAAAAGAAATATCACTTTAATATCAGGAAAATTACAGGGCTATTTTGATACCTTTTCCTCTAAATTTAAATTAAATTTTAAAAAAAAGTACCTTCTTTAAAGTGAGAAAAAAACTCTTTCCTCAAATTTCATGAAAAGTCCAGGTATTTAAATGTATGCAATACTTTTTGACTTTTAGCACATCCAAAGAAAATCAGTTCAGCTAAATTACCATATATAACAAATGTCAGAAACCACTAGAAACAGATTGTGAATAAAAAAATACATTTTGAAAATAATGGCAGCTTCTCAAATTTGGTATTTAAAAACAATGCTTAATGTAAGTTTATAACTCACTTCTGAAGCATGAGGGGGACTAAACAATATAATTACATGCAATATCTTTATTACCTTTCACTCAGATGATGAAAACTGCTGCTTTCATCCTGGTGTTCATCTTCAAAACTTAAATTAGACCAGCTACCAGTGCTGTCATCACCAATACTGAGGTTCATCTGCTGACTTCCAAGCGACTCAGGTGACTGGAAGTCTTCTGTTCCTTTTGGACTAAAAAGAAAGGCAAAAAATTCAACTGGAGAGCATCAGACTCTGAGGTGTAACTATCTGATAATAAAGATGACAAGAACAAAAAGGATACACAGAGTTAAGCCAGTGGCCCATCTAATGTTTGTGTCATCTAAAAAGTAGACTTTGCAGAGGAGCATATTAATTTTAAAGTTAACAGAAACACCCTCAGCACCCTAACTTAATCTTTAGCCTGTTATGCAACCCACCCCAAGAGCATCATTTATCTAAATACCACTATGGAGCACAAGTTCCTAAGTTTACCATCTGCTTTGTAAGATAGTACTTTTTTTTCTAATATTTATTTATTTATTTATACAAGCACTGGGTACAGTCAGAAGCACGGGAGGGTGAGAGAATTCACCAGAACCAGAGTAGGGAACAGAACAGGCAGACTGATGAAATACACTGCTGAGGGGAGCAGTGGGCACAGCAGAAGAGGTCTGTCGCGCCATGTGGGACCGTCGCCGGCGGCCGGGGATCGAACCGGCGCTGCAGAGGCTGCGGGCAGCTTCGCAGCCCAGCGCTCAACCGCTGCGCCACCAGGAGAGGCCCAAGATAGTACTTTTATCTGTATTAAAAGAAACCTTTCTGGCTTTAAGAATTAAAAAAAAAAAAAAAAAGGAATTCTAGTGCATAGGCAAACTAAACCATATCTGTTCAAGATTTTGAGCATGAATCATAACCTTTCCCATTTTTTTTCCAGTGAAGACACATATTTTAATTCCATCTTTGCAAAAAAGTCCATTCACTCTTCAATTATCGTAATGTTGCCTCTACTTTTTATTTTCAGCATAGCAGTTTAAAGTGACATTTTAAACATGAAGACAGAAAATTTTAGTGTTCTGTTTTGTATCATCTAAAAGGGAGACTTTGCAGAAGCATATTAATTTTAAAGTTAATGGAGATACCACCAGTACCCCAAACTTATCTTTAGCCTGTTATGCTTAATGTAAATTGTCACTGTGTGTCACTCATCTAAATACCATTACGGAACACAAGTTTCTAAGTGATGAGAGTGGCCTCTCACCAATGAGAATAAGAATCCAAATGCTCATAGTATATCATCTGTCTCCTCCACCCTTTCTCCTGCTACCCTCCCTGGCTCACTCCATTTCACCCACACAAACCTCTCTGCTGATTTACCAGTAGGGACAGGTCCACCCTCCCATTGCCCAGTGACTATTCTCTCTGCACCCATGGCTCTTTGCTCAAATGTTACTCTGTCAGAGTTATCCTTCTCATTATCCATTCAAATTTGCAAACCATCCCCCCTCTGACAGCTCGCACCACCCTCACCACTCTCCAGCCCCCTTCCTTACTATAGTTTCCCTCCAAAATACTTATCACCACATGACAGACTATACCACAATACAAGCACCAAGAGAACACGATTGTCTGCTTCACTTCTATAATCCTAGTGCCTAGAATAGGAACCTGACCCGCCCCCATTTTTTTTTTTTTTTGACTCTTTTCAGTTTGTAATTAAGGTATAGCAACCAGAATTATACTGGCTATCCAGCGACAGGCACACTATATAATTTTGAACCATAATAGAGTACAATGTTGTTGTTGTTCTTTTTTTTAACCTGTAATGTGTCACAAGCTAATGCTTTTGGGCTATAAATGACCATTAAGTGGGTTTCAGGGAAGTTTTTAACAACTGCTAGGTTATCTTGGTTCAGAAATAGCAGCTCAGAATATAATTTAGATGTTTTGCTTTCCCCAAAATGCCCCATCATATAATCCCCATTTGACAATCATGTACCTCTCTTCTGTATATCACAGCTTTGTGAAATATTTATGGTTATTTTCATGAATCAAACATAAGAAAAGGGAACACTAGCAAGTAAATCAAATAATACCTTTAAAAATAATCTATTTGAGTGAATCCCTCCTTAAAGATTGAGACACAAACCATTTTAACTTTAGAAATAGAAAATGGAAAAAAAATAACATTATATGTATTAGTCAACTTTTAATAGTCAGCACTTAAAGAATCCTAGCACAATTATTAAGAAATAAAAAGAGGAAAAGAAATACCAAGTAATATTCTGTTGGTCTGGATAACAACTTGAAATTAGACAGCAATGCCTTACAGAAAGAACTTCTGGGGGTCTATCTATCTACTCACCCAATACTAAGAAGGAAAAGTGAAAATACTGAGGAAACTGAGAGCAAAGACCTCACTAGGCTTTGGAGGGTTATGAGCAGAGGCTCTTTTCTTCCCATGAGACTGAGATGAAAGAGACAGTTCAAAGAGTATGAGGCTGTTTTTTGTTTCGTTTTAAGTTGCTTCAATTATAGATAGGCCTAGCCCATATGTACATTTATTAACTACTCATCATATGCCTATCATTATATTAGGAATTAATGTAGAGTTATAGGTCTACGGCAAAGGTTCTCAAATTTTTTCTGTGAAGAGCCAGACAATTAAACATTTAGGCAACACCAACTACAAGGTCTCTGCATGAAACAGCCATACACAATACATACATGAGGGAGCACAGCTGTGTTCCAATAAAACTTTACTCATGAACAATGAAACAGAATTTCATATAATGTTCACATGCCACAAAATAATACTCTTCATTTTTCTTCAAGACACTTAAAAAATGTAAAAAAAAAACATTCTTAGCTCACAGAACCATACAAAAACAAGCAGTGGGTCAGATATGGCCTATGGGTTGTAGAGTTTACCAATCCCTGGTCTGGGACATATGAAGCTGCTGATTATAGCAAATTGAGAACCTCCCCTCATTCACCAGAGATTAGATAGCATCTCTCATCACAAGAGGATGCTGCAGAATCACTGGATTCAAAGGTCCTGCCCAAACTGCATTTTCTTATTTTATGGAGGCTAAGTAAAGAGGCAGTTCTCATCACTGCTTTGATAAAAGCTACCAGAAAATCTGAGGTATCATGTGCCTCAATTGAATTTCACTTCAATTCAAAGCTATTATTTCTCTATTTGGTGGAAATGACAAATATAACCATACAAACTAGTAACACAAGTTGGTCCTGATGTTCTCCCAGAGAGAAAGTTAAAATGAAAATTTTAACTAAGGTGTTAGAATCACCAAACACAAGACAAATACTGAAGAACAGGACACTGTAGGACTATCAGAAAGAACTGTCCCCTCAGATAGTGAAGTGGTGGCAATAGTGGAAGTATTTGGAGAATTTTTGCTTTCTTCCTCATCGCAATTTGGTTATATTATATTCTTCATAAGAAAACTTACCTTTGTGACCAGATACAAAACATTGTATAAAAATTTAATCTCAGAGTAGCATATTAAAATGGTAATGCTCTATATTTGCTGTATGAATTTCTCCAGTTGTTTCTTCCATTCAACTTTACCTACGTCATAGCTTTGTGAACTCGGGCAAGGTGATTATCTTCTCTAAGCCTCATCTTCCAGCTTGGTAAATGGTTAATACCTTCCCTCAAAGGGCTGTTGTGGGATAATGAAACAATGTATATGAAAGTAATAGGCAGGATATCAAACAATAGACAAATAGGGATTTTTTTTAATAATTACATATAACAGGAAAATGTCCCTATTATCTAAAATAGGGACTTATTTTAGATAATAACTGTACCTAATTTAGGATAAAAAACTGTACCTTTTTGAACAGGACTTAATACATGCATGGTCAAGTTTATTTTTTTTTTTAAAGATTTATTTATTTATACAAGAGCTGGGGTCCAGGCCAAAGATGTGGGGGTGAGAGGATTCACCAGAGACAGAGCAGGCCACAGAACAGGCAGACTGACTGAAATACACTGCTGAGGGGAGCAGCGGGCGAGACAGGAGAGGTCTGTTCCGCCATGTGGGTTTCTCCCTGGCCGGCCGGGAATCAACTCATGCAGTGGCTGCGGATTGCTTCATAGGTTGCGTCTCAACCCCTGCGCCACCAGGGAGGCCTTACGTGGTCAAGTTTAACTTTTCATTTTATCATAACACTGAAAAGAAACTTGAAACTTACCTGCTAGCAGCATGTCCAACATTTGTCATTGCAGAGGTCACTATTTCTGCGCTAAGGCTTTCAGCAAAGCTAAGGCCATCCTGTCCAATTCCACTATCAGCTGCCAAACTGGTATTGCTCAGCTCTCGCTCTGCTTTTTCAATAGCTTCAGCAACTATCTTCTCTGCAAGCACAGTCTTCTTATCAAGATCAACATGAATTTGAGGGACATCAAGATGAAAAATTCTAGATTTCTGGTAGACGTTGCTAAATTTTGAATTAGAGACTAGCCTACTATTAGAAAGTGAATCCTGTCTGAAAAATTGTGGAGATGAATTTCCAGTGCAATCATGGAGTTCTTTACGGTCACAATATCTGCAGGTCTGACTTGTGAGAGGTGATAATTTTTCTGCATAAGTGATCCTTTCTGCTGCTTTTGTGGACCCAGACACTTGAAAAAATGCAGATCCTAAACTTAATTCTAAAGTGTGATCCACTACTTTTTTAGCATACTGCTCAATTGCTTGAACAACATTCTCTTCATAGCCATACCCATTTAAGTTGCCTGTACTGTGATAAAACCTGTGATTTTGTGAGGAAGGCTGAAGAGACTGAGCAAATTCTGGCTCAACATGAGTCTTGGTATCTTCTTCACCTCCAGCTTTTTCATAAAGGCAAGAATCTGGTAGGGACTTTGGCAAGCCAACTGCAGATACTGTCAGCTCTTTTTCAACATCTTTTGTAATGCTGTGAGCCAGAGAGGTGGAAAAATTGGATAGTTCAGAACACTCTTTTCTATATGTATCCTGGGTCCATTCACAAGTCTGATTTTTATAAAGGCAACCTCCACTTCTTTTACTTTGCCTTTTTTTCTCTATTTCTTGGTGGTGTTCTTTATTTAGGAACATTAACAGTTCACTGTTAGTTTTTGCCCGTGAGTTTTGCACAGGGGACATTTTTGAGTTGCACTTCATTTTGGCTGACTTAGCTGCTTCCTGTAGTCCTGATTTAAGAGATCGATAAGCAAGCCTATTAGCATACTGATCCATTATTAACTCATTATTACCACCTTCCTGTTTTAGTATTTGGATAATGTGACCTGCGTATTCATCTGTCACACTTTCACAGCTAGGATACTTGTATGTCAGGCCTGACATACAAGAACTTGGTGGTAATGAAAGAATAAATGAATCCACTTCTTGTGAGTATGCCACAGCCTCTGTATCCAACTTCTCTTCTGATACAGCTCGGTCCCCCTCACCATAACAGCTGTTCCTCTTCTGCCTGAAAAGCATACAACTTCTAATGTTTGCTATTTTCTCGGCTTCTGTAATGACTTCTGAGGCCATATCACCTGCAAAATTCTGTAACGGTAGCAAAGTTTCATTTGAGTGATTTAGAAAAGTAGGCAATACACTTCTTGAGTTTTGTACATTTAAGGACGGGCTTTTAACCTTGGGTTCTTGGGTTATTTTATTATCTAAATGGGAAGCTGCCATTTCAGTTGCAAGAGAAAGGATGTGTGTAGCTAAGGCATCTGCAAACTGAACTTTCTTCCCTGAGTACTGGGCCTTCACATCCACTTCTGGATGCTCTTCACCTTCACTACTTTCAACTTCTTCTGAAAGGGATCTCATCAGTTTCAACATAAACTCTTCTTTCTCTATAGTATTTTGTTCACTTTCAGACAAACTACCAACAGACGAGTTGTGAGGTGTAGAAGGTGGCGTAGCAGGTGCAAATTCTTTGGCTAATTCCCCCTTGAGCTTTTTAGTTAACTTCTTGATATCCCATTCAGAATTTGCCTGGGATGGTAGGAGAGGAGTCGATGGAGGAGTATCAGGTATTATATTTCCATCTCTGATCTTCTGCTTGTCTTCTACATGTAAACCATCCACACACGTAAGCACTGTAGATGAGAATGTATGTGAAGCAGGAAAGGGGTTTTCCTGCCCCAATGACAGGGGCTCAAGTGCTGTATTATTCAAATCAGTCTTTTTCACTGATTTTTTCTTTGCAAGTTCCTTCAAATCAGGTTTTTGACCTACCATAATTGCACCTGTCTCTAAAGAAAATCCATGAGTCACAGAACCTTTACATTCTGGAACACAGTTCTTTCCTACTGAAAGTGAACAGTGAGTTAAGTGATCCTGAGCATTAAGAAATTTGGGGAATTTTTCCAAGGTCAGTTGTGACTCTTCTCCAGTAATAGGTAAGCCTTCCTTGTGTACTGCATTTTTATCTACATTTGAGATCGCTGTTTTGCTTTTATCTATGGAATGTTTAATAATAGACTTCGATAACTGATCAGCAAACATGTACTTATTGCTAGCTTCACGCCTCTGCAGTGTTCCTTGATCAAAGGGAAGATGGGGGGTGTTTCCATTTACTCTGTTAACTGAACAATCTGTGTGTTCATCGACTGGTTCTGTGACTTTGAATGACGTCGGTGGCTGTAAAGTTTCATTTACAATTGCATGCACCATTGCTGCAGAAAAATTGCTAATAATTACCGGATCACTTGTTAATTTTGAAGAGTTTTCTATGTCAATACCACCACTAGCTGGTTTAAAATCACTCTGGTTACCTGGGCTATGTTCTGAAGGCAAACAAATATTTCTGAGACAAGCTAGTTCTTCTTTGTTTTTTGTAGCAACAAGTGATTCTTGGATAGAATCACTATTTGAATTACTATCAACAGATGACACATGAGACTTTGCCTGATGTATATGAGAGGAAATATGAGATGGAAGAAGGGCACTTCCTGCCAAGGGCACGGGTATAGAAGTAACAATTCCCGAAGTACAAAACAAGGCTTGTTGCACTGTGTATTCTTTCTTATATTCCTGCGTGGGTTTTGTCAACATAATTGTCTGATTGTTGAAAGCAGGGGAAAATGTGAAGGTCTGTGTTGATGGTACTACATTTTCTGCACTCACATAATTTATGTTATCTGTAGAAACACTAACTGCAGCCTCCGTTGTGAAGGACACATCAACCTGTGACAGTTCAATGAATGCTTCCTGTATTACAGATTCAGATAAATCTTTTGCATATGATTTCACAACCTTGTCTTCATAGTCAAATGACTGACCCTTTGGAGACGCAGGTGTTGGAGGGTATGAAAACTGGCACACTTCCATGATACCTTCGAAAACAAGCTCTTCAGCAAGATCTGCAGCAAATGCAGCCACTGTATTGGTAAATATCTGCTTCTTTACATACTGTAGATCTTGTAAAGCATTTGACAGAGCTTCAGTCACCAAAAAATTAGCCAGACCACTAATGGCACGTTCTTTCAGTGAAAATGCACGCTGTCGTCTCAATTCATTAAATGCCATCTGAAGAACGGATGATGTCAATTTGATGGCTAAGTGACACAATGCATTGGTACAAGAAGAGACCCCTTTCTGTAAGTCTTTGAATGCACTACCAAAACTTTTTTCCACAAGATCTGCTGCAAATTTCTGTATGCTATCTTTAATCATTAAGGATTTATTTTTAGACTTACTTTTTGGATCAAGGCTTCCACATTTAAGAGCTACAGTTTTATTTTCTTCTTTTTTAATACTGTTAGTATTCACTATTATGTTACTATGCTGGGTATGAAGAACCGAGCCCAGTACTTCACATGAAAGGAGATTTGCATAATCTTCATAGGTGTAATAAAGAGAATTGTGATTTTCATGAATTCTATCTCCTACGATATCTGTTTGGCAAAAGCATTCAGCAGGAGTGCAGCCTCCAAGAGGACTAAAAGCAGAGGATCGGATAGGGCTAAACAAACCACTGTCTTCCCCTGATGCCTTCACTGGGCGGGGAGAATCTGGAGCATCACACAGGTTACTGTAAGGGGATTCTGGTTTACGAGGAGTTGGCTTCCTAACATTAGCTGGGAGAGCTGGACGATCAAACTTGAATTTCTGAGGATTCATAGTAGTGGTTACAGAACGAGAGTTTTCATGTTTGTGTCCTTTCTTTTGCGATTGTTTCCCTATGACAGGATCTTTTGGAAATTGACAAGATGCCGCTACAGTTTGTTCTAATTCATCAAACTGATCAAAACTATCAAAAAATTCACTGACTTCTGAGTCTGAATTCTCTATATCATCTTTCATCACAGGAATTTTAGGTAGCTCAAGCTTTGCTTTTAAACTTTTTTGATAACCCTCTTCATCCAAGAAAATAACAGGACTTGGACTTGAACATTCTGATTCAGATGAGTAGGCAGGTGAAGAGGAAAAGAACGTTTTCTGTGTATCACTACCTTTATCTGAAGCATTAGATGACCTATAGAAACTCCTTTGTACCCAAGGCTCAGAAATTGACGTTGTGACTGAAGTTTTCACAGAAGGTAGCTCTTTGTGTCCCAGAATATTTATTAAGGATGTCGAAGGTTTAGGCAATGACTTCTGCTGACCAGAGCTAACCAGAATCCTTAAATCACGGGTTTCTAAAGGGTGAACAGAAGTAGTCTGTGAAGCAGCGTCACACTGGTTCCTTGGTGCAGTAATGTCTATTCCTACAGGAAAAGAATAAAAGAATTACATTACTCTTGTATAGAATTTTTAAAGAGTAATTTAAATCAATGGGAATAAGCTGACTTTTTGGATGAAGTGTTTACTTGTAACATAGGGGTCTCTAAACAATGTTAACAGATTTATCCCAAGTCATATGACTTTTACTTAAATTATTTCATTTTACTCCATATCTGGGAATGCTAGGTCTACGGATTGCTCAGCAAGCTGCCACAAGTGTTAGAAACACCAGTATGTGACTGCCAGCTACTGTTCTGCAACTGGAACCAAAGCATGTTCTAGACACTTTAGGTAGTGAGATAAAGAGCGCTTGAACAGTTCTGCCCAAGCTAGAACAGAAACAGCAAGACTGAAAACCAATTTACCGTGAACTTAAAAATCACAAGACAATTCCTTAGGCAATCAGAAAATATGAAAATCAGATTAAATTTCAAAATACATTTCAGTTGAACTATTCAACCTAAAACTGTCAAAACGAACTAAGCTTTAATCTCATATTTTAAGGAAAAGGCCAGTAAAAGACAAACCCTCGTTATATGGCTTTGAAGCTTCTTCTTCTAACTGCTCAAAAGCAGTGACAAAGTCATCCTCTATGGAAGACACAGACTGGTTAGTATCGTCATCATCTTCATTAGTGGTCTCAAGATGGTGCTTCTGATGCAAATATGAGTCCAGGGTGTATCTGATACCAGTAGCATATTTACTTAGGAGACTAAAGATAAAATCAACTCTGAGTCTTGGTAATACAGGTGACACTCTCATGACACAAAGCATTCCAGAATGATGATTCTTGGGAAAGACGAAAGTAACAAAAATAATGTTATTTTCAAAACATTACACATATAAGATACAGATCTAGAAATGAAGCTTAGAAATAAAACAATCTCAAGAAGAAAAAAGAAAGAAATACATACATCCCGAAAGCAGCTTTCTGATTTTTATAATGGGTAAGGGGTTTTTTAATTCATTTTTTTTCTCTCCAACATTTCTCACTTCTCAATCTCTTTCCTATTTTTCTCTTATCCAGGTATTCAAATTCCACCTATTCTATCTCTTTAAATGTTTTAAAACTTACTCTCCATTTTTCTTGCAATTAATGTTTTTTGTATTATTTCATAGCCCTGTGATTTTTCTTATTTAATCACTTGCCTAGCTCACCAACTATACACTATAAACAGCCCGAGGACATGAACTAGGTTCTAGTCATTTTTTTTTTTCTATTTTCTTGTAGCTTTCAGCATAATACCATCTTCTCTTCCATTAAAAAAGAATTACCCCCTCCTTTTACCTAAATTTTCCCTTATTATATATTGTTACATATACAACTTACAATAATGTTTATAGTTTTGATTAAGAAAACAAGATGCCACATATTTCCCATACATACCTTTAAAAATGCAAATACTGAGAAATAATTTATTCAAAAACTAGAAACTAAACAGCAAATCACCTCTTGTATTCTAGCAAATACAACCAAGTGAATATAAATGAAGAATATAGCTAAGGAAATGAGTGTAGCAGTCGTACTTTTAATTGTAGTCCTCATAATGAACAGTCTTTTATACTTACAGAAAGTAATAAATTTTAAACCAACTAATTTCATTTCTAGGAGGTAAAAAGCAATTTTAATGCATTATCAACAAAATAATGCTTAGTAAAGAACTAAAAGCCGAATGTTATAAAATTAACTGTGAGAAATGGTAACATTTTTGTTAATGAAAAAAGAACACATATCTTCAGGGTGTCTACATGGAATTTTTTAAATCATAAAATTAGTTAAAGTATGTACTCTAAAATATATAGCATAATGTTTATACAAATTTGAAATTGGCCATAAAAAGGGAGAGAAATCCAATAGCTTATAGAAAGTTGCAGAAATAATGAATTTTCAGAAAAAAAGATGAATATGTACTTACATACTGCTTAGGGAATTTCACACATGGAAAATCTAACTTAAAGCTTTGACCAAAATTATTCTATCCTCTGGTGATGTCAAAGCATCAATGAGTTAAGACATTTTATGAATCATATATCCTTGAAATAGCATTAAAAAAAAAATGTTCAACCAACCCTTTGCAAGTCTAATACTCTCAAACAAATGTCACTGTACAATTTTAATCCTGAAAAATTCATTAGAAATAACAAATAAAAGTTACCTGGTTTAGAGGGTCACTGTTTATATCTGATTTATTTATATCCTTCATACAAATAATTTCATTTTCATTTAGACTGCAGAAGTGAAGTGAATTCAGAAGAGCTGGAAGTTCCAAAGAAACTGCAGATAAATCCTAATTTAAAACAATAACACAAAAAAATAACACTATTGAATAACACTTTCTAAGGTTCTTCTGTATATCCTATCAAAAAATCCTAGGGTCTGATAGTTAAAAATTTTTCCAGGTAATATAGTTTATACACACTGTGTTTGTGTGTGTCTGTGTGTATTTATATATATAAATTGTATTTATGTATACAATTTATATATATAATTTATATACATGTTAATTGGGTGTTTATATATATAAATTGGGGGCAAGCCATATTATATTGTGCAATATTATATTGTGCTATATTGTGCAATATTATATATTATATTGTGCGATATTATATTGTGCATATTATATTGTGCAATGTATGTGTGTGTGTGCATGTGTGTGTGTGTTTGGCTTATCATCCCCAATTTTTTAAAAAATTCAAAATTAAAATATACTATTTTAATAATCAATTATTTCTTTTTTTTAAAGATATATTCATTTTTTTTTTTAAATACAAGAACTAGGGTACAGGCCAGAGGCGTGGGAGGGTGAAAGGATTCACCAGAGACAGAGGGGGAAACAGAACAGGCAGACTGAAATACACTGCTGAGGGGAGCAGCAGGCAAGACAGGAGAGGTCTGCCATGCCATGTGGGTAGCTCCATGGTCAGCCAAGAACTGAATCCACCTGCAGAGGCTGCGGACAGCTTCATAGCACTGCACTCAACCTGCTGCACCACCAAGAAAGTCCAAAATCAGTTATTTCTGAGGCATTTTAAGCATACTGATATGAACCTATAAAAAAATTTTACATGGGTTCCTTCACGTACCCATTATATTAGGCATTATTTTTAGGTGCCAATGTCAATATGTAGTCCACTGGTTTAACTATGGTGTTTTTTATATGAATTGTTGACTACAGCATGTACTTCTTTGAAGCTAAAGTTTGTATTTGTATAATACGAGCCTATTTTGGGCCTCCCTGGTGACACAAGGGATTAAGACGCAACCTATAAAGCTGTCTGCAGCCAATGCAGCGTGAGTTCAATCCCCAGTCAGGGAGCTATCTACATGGCACAGCAGACCTCTCCTGACTAGCCCACTGCTCCCCTCAGCAGTGTATCTCAGTCAATCTACCTGTTCTGTTCCCCACTGTCTCTGGTGAATCCTCTCATTCCCCACACCTCTGGCCTACACCCCCGTTCTTGTGTGCATAAATAAATAAATCTTTAAAAAAACAAAATACAAGTCTACTTTCTCTGCCTTTCCTCTCCAAGATATTATATTAGACTTTAACTGAAAACCTTATGAAGATGTGAAGAAAAAGAAAAATAACCTTTTTCATTTGCCCTTTTGATGTAAATATTTTGCATAAAGAACTATTAATGTCTCTGCCCCTTCATAGAGTAGTTTCTTTTATAAACATGGTTTATAAACACTTGAAGAGGAAACAGTATGAGAGAAATACTTGGGAACACTTCTCAGTCTTAAGGATATACATACTCTTAGATATATGTCTTGTACCTCTGTTTAAACTACTTCCTTCACAGGAATATAGGGGAACCAAATAAGACATCAGTGTAAAAAAAATCATAACAACAGTACAAAACACAACAAAGCAAAACCAGACAATTATAAACCAGAGACATCCTGCAGGGGAGGAGGAGGGAGAGGGGTGAGAGGGAGGGAGGAAGGAGCACAGGGGACTGTGGTGATGGTGCACGGGTGCCTTTAGGGAAGGAAATTCTATGAGGATTCAATCTGAGGCGGTGGGGGGAAGCAAATATTGTCTAAAAATGTAAAAAATGATATATGTTAAAAGAAAAAAAGAAAAAATAAACTACCTCCTTCAGTCAAGGGCACAGTTAAGACAAACAGAAATTTTCTTTCATTATCATTAATGAAAAACAATAAAAAATGGAATAGTGCTATTTCTTCTTCTATTACAAGATGTGCCTCAAAAGGAAACACAATAATGACAATTTTTTAAGATACAACATGAGGTTAAAAAAGTATGACAATCACACCTACATGAGCTTCAATTATTCTTTATGTAACTGTGAAACTTTCCTTTGCTGATCTTAATCTCAAATCAGACACTATGTAAATACCTGCCTAAATCAAACAGGATAAGTATTTTACAATGATCAATCATTGCTTTATACAAGTTTATCTTTTTTAATTAATTGCATCTTGATTAAAATTATTAGAATCTGGCTGCTAAAGTCAGATTATCAAAAAAAAAAAAATTCTTTTATTCTACATTTTGCACAGAATGGAGAAAAGGTTAGCATGCAGTTTGCAACTGTCTCAGATAAGTGACTTTTGTGGTTTCCTGACCTAAAATTGCTTTCTGCAACAAGAAAACGTGACTGAAAAACAGTGAAAATGAAAATGTCCAAAGCACACTCAAAAGTTGATCTCAAAATGACATATTTTAATCAAACAGGAATAAAATCAGAAGAGTTCAATGCATAAAATTCAGGTTAATAAGGAAAATGTTTCAAGGCCTCAAAATATCTTCTAAACAATCTTTAACAGTCCTTTCCGGTTCTATACATTGACCATACCTGTATATGAGCAGCATCTGTTTCTTCATTAAAACCTAGAAAAGTGACCTGAGTAAAAAAGAAAGCTCCATTAATTTACATTTTTAAATCTTGCCTCAATTAAAATTGTTTTCAGAAAAACAGAAAAAAGTACATAAAGCCTTAAAGTGTTGGCTGTCTTGAAGAGGATGATTAATTGCATCGAAGATGATTAATAAGGCTTTTCACCAAAGATTGGCTCGATAAGCTCTTCCACGTCACCCATTATCCCCTTCATCAGCAAGTTCAATCAACTCTACTCCCAACACATATCTCGCATATGTCACTCCTCCCCTTTGCCCTTGCCAACACTTCTCACCTGCACTACTACAATCCTTTCCCATCTGGCCCCAGTTAATTATCATTCCATTTCCCTGTTAAAACCTTTGCAAGCTTCCCAGTTAAAGTCCTAATTGAGGTCCAAGGTTCTAAGTTAGATGGTGCCTTCAAACTTCCCTCACTTACATTCACATATAGTCCCTCTCTCTGGGTCTAGAACATGTCCAGTATGTTCTTCCCAAAGGGAAGGGCTTTGTAATATCAAAAATTCTCAGTGTGGATCACTATTATCTATTCTCTATCCCTTGCTTATTTTCCTGCCTAGCTCCTCTTCCTTCTATTAAGTTTCAACTTAAATTTATCACCTCCTCTGGCGAGATATTGCCTGATAAACCCCCAAAGTCACCTCCTTGCTTATCCATTTATTTCCTCTCTTGCTTATTTCCTTCAATATCATTATATAGAGATTACTCTACATAAATTTTTATAAATTACATTTCTAAAAACTACCTACTGGCACAAGAAAATGTTGCATTATTAAGTAAAAAGGACAAATCACAGAAAAATAACTTAGTGTACACACACAATTTCAACTTCACGTAAAAAAAAACATACATATGGAACATAATACTGAAGAATAATAAGGCAATAAACCAAACTATAAGCAGTGATTAACTCTGGATGTTGGAATTACAAGTGATTTGATCTTTTCTACTCCCCCCTCAATGTTTTTTATACTAATTCATAGGATTAATAAGTCACTTTCTCTCTTATGCTTTCAGTATTTATTTTTCTACAAGGAATATGTACTACTTTTATATGCAGAAAAAAATGATATTTAAAGAAGTGTATTCCCTTTGCCTTTCACATCACAGAAGACATTTTTTCCATCTGAAAATAGAATAAACTGTCTACAAAGCAAATGTTGTGACTAAAAATTGTGAAATAATCAATATAGATTATCAATATAGATAATCAATTCTCAAGAATCAAAGAACTATAGGAAAACTACATAAGCAACACTCTATACATTAGTGGTCTCTTTCTAACGATTCAGAAACAAGTCTGAATCTTAATTACCCCAGGTTCTTTATTTTGATAATTATAGCGATCAATTCACAGAAGTGTTACACTTAATTTCCAGTGTTTAGGCAAGTCACTAACTTCTAGGAGCCTATCTCCTCATCTATAGAACTTAAAGGAATGCAATTCCTCTTCGATAGCTGTGAGAAGAAACTGCACAATGTAAAGTGCCTAGTGTATCATAAACCCTCAAAAAACAAATTTCTGTTCTTTCTTCAAGAAAACATTTGAGATATGTACACCCTAAAGTGAGACAGACATTCCATCTATTCTCTCATTTCCGTTTTCTGAATACATAAGAGCAAGTAAGCTGAGAAAGGGTTTTGGAGATGCCAGTACAGTTTTATATTTCAACTGAAGGAAGGCCTCCCTAGGAACATGGGCTCCAAAAGGTATAATGGAATAACTGGAGAGATATGGGCTGGGAAATTGAGGGCAGAAAGACACAAGAGACTTGCCACACGTGGCAACAACTAAGCAGATTACAAGAGGTTCGGCTTTATTAAAGTAAAAAGGGAAAACAAAGAAGATAATAGTCAAGAGCCACAGAAACTGAGCTGACTCAAAAAAAAATAGAGGCTCAAGGCAGCTCTCTTGCCCACATTTTTCTGCAGGTGCCTCTCTTTTCTTCTCCCTTTTCCTACTAAACCTGTCCTTTTAAAATGTAAAAAACAAAAGACAAGAGGAGGCTCATGTCAGAGAACACTACAGGCCTAAAAGGTATGTCACCATCCCATGGGACTACATCAAATATAGTTGCTCAAGGAACATGAAAGAAAATCATCCCCCAAAATGAGAATCATCAAGTGATTTTTTTTTTATTAGAACCCTCATTTCAAAAATTGTTAAATATATTTATCAATTGTAAACATCAACAATTTAATACTCCATCTCTCTTATTTGGTAATATGAATGTGTTGATGAACAATGATTTTAATACAGAAAAATAATCTATTCCTTTTTATAGTAATAAATTCAAACAAAACTGGAAACACTGATATAGCAGAGAAATAGATAAGCCAATAAAAAATCTTATCCTTAAGGAATAAATATCTTAATTTCAAAATATTATCACTTTTTCATTTTGATTCAAAGCACTGAATTTACATAATCAAGGAAGTTAACAATTATCTAAAAAGTGAGTATAAGAAATAAGTATATATTTTATGTTTCAGAGTAAAAATCTTAGTATTAAAGTACCAATCACTCACAGAGTAGGAACCACCTAATACAGAGCTGTAAGTTCAATGGCCAGTCAATATTGCCTTTGTGCTGAATTAAATGTGCTCATTATAATACATTCAAACACTTTTGTTAGCTGGTATTTAAAACAGGTGCTTCTCACACATTTTAACCATAAAAACAGAAAATACACTGTGCTTTATTAAGAGGGCATATAGAAAGTAATGTGTCAAACCTCAGTCAAGTTGGTATGATCTTCCTGCTTTATACAGTCCTCTGCTGATACACTGCATAGTTCCTTCTCACTCTGTAATAAAGACTTTACAGACTGGAACACATCTTCACTGAAGCTCTGAAAATAAAAGACAATCTTAATTTGTTTAATTCTAAGACAAGATAAGAGATCCTGGAGATATCCTACTTTTATGTGAAGAATCACACCAGTTACTATTCATTTGGCACCTTTTGATATATACAGAACTCACTTCATCTGAGATAAAGAAAGAAGGAAAGATTTAAGTAGAGTTCTACATGCTCAGAACACACACCACAGCCCAGACATCCAAACTACTAAGATTCTCACACCAGATTCACTTACTCTCACCTTCCACTAATGCCTAACAGACTGCACACCGTAATTCAAAGTCATCTTCAGGTAAGAAGCAATATTCACACAATGTTAGCAGAGGGTGAATCTAAGTGAAGACTATATACGATTTTAATTGTACTGAGTTTCTCCCCCAATTTTACTGTGGGCTTGAAAAAACTCAAAACTTTAAATGAGTCTATTTTCATTTATGAGTGGAGGTTTTCAGGCTAAGCTATAAGCATAAACTCAAAACAGAAAAAAAAATAAGAAATGTGAAATCTGAACTTGAACTATATCAATACAAACTGATGACACTAAAGGAGCAAGAGGCACTCCTAGTACAGAGATCTTAGTATCTAAATACAATTCAGGGTTCTTTGGACAATTAGCCGATTCTAGCTCTGAGGATGAAAAAGTAGAAGGTGAAACTAGGTTAATCTGTTGTACGAGAAAGCAACGAAACAATAAAATAATTACGAGCCTATGACAAAAAGACAAAATGCATTGTCTTGGAGGGGCTCCCAGGAACCAACTTTGGAAGAATTTGAGCAACTTAAAATACATGAATGAATTAATGAATGAATGAATGACTGTAAAACAGAGAATTTTAAAAATCTATGAGTACAAAGCAATACAAATAAGTGGGAGAAATAAAACTCACTTGCCACCACTGGAGGTGACTATCCTATCAAATCATTAATCTGAAAACTGGTAAATTAAAGCACATTTACCCTGCTTTATAGGAAATACTGTAGTTCATCTATGGTTGATGAGGAAAAGTTTTAATTTTAAAAAGATATATTTATGCATAGAGGAACTGTAGTATAGGCCAGAGGTGTGGGGGGTGGGAGGATTCATGAAAGAGTGGGGAGCAGAACAGGTGGATCTACTGAAATACTCTGTTCAGGGTAGCAGCTGGTGAGACGAGACGTCTGCTGCACCATGTGGTTAGCTCCCTGGCCAGGACTGAACTCAGGCCACAGCAGTGATAGAGCTGAGACTTAACCCCTATGCCACCAAGGAGGCCCCAGGAAAAGTTTTTCTTTAAGAAGAATGCCAGGTGGGCCTCCCTGGGTATTAAATATAAGAGAAATATATTTCCTTTTCTTGGATGTTTTAAAGGTATTATTGTTATATGGGAAGATGTTGTTATTCTCAGGAGAAGCATACTCTAGTACTCAGAGGTGAAGAAACAAGACTAATTTTCAAATAGTTCTACCAAAAAAATCAACATACACATAGAAAGAAAGTAAATAAACTAAAATAATAACAGTTCTTGAATACGGGTGGTAGGTATGCAGGTTTATGTGTGAGCATACTTGCATAACACATACATATACATAGAGTATGATATTTAGATTTACATTCTTTTATCTCAGTGGGTTTCCAAGTATGTAAGTGAATGTCTATCAAATCTTTACTGTGAGTCTAATATGGGTAATGTACTGAAAAATAAAAGACATTAAATGATAACAGTATAAAATTTCAGAATTCAGACCAAGTTCCACAATCTCAGGACTATATTATTAGTAAATTCAATACAAATAGGTATGTAGTATTATACTTGAAGAACATGGTCACAGCTCATCATTACAGTTTGTATATATTTTTAGTTATAATTGTTCACTCAAATCAATTTAATTTCATTTAATACATTTAATTATTATTTAGAACTACAGGTCCAAATGCTTGAATTAGAAACTGAAAAAAAACATGTTTGACTGTACCTTTTTCAAATTAAAAAGTGAAACTACTAAGTTTAAACAATTCATGTGAAAACGTGTAGCATATTAATTAACAAAGTGATTACTATACAGTTTAAAATTAATTTACCTTCTGCTTTCAGAACTATTTTTACAGTTAACAGTAAAAATCCAAACATTTCTTAGCTCGCTGAAGAAAAGAATGCCTAAATGAAAAAGCAGCCCTGGCAGCTTATGAGAGCACCAATAATGAGAAGTTGGAAAGATCAACAGAAGACAGGAGTTATGGTAAGACAGAGAGGAGAAAAATACTGTAATGAAAGAAGTCAAAGACCATTCTAAAGATGTAAGCACTTGCCAAAAGTGTCATATACTATAGAGGATAATACCTAGGAAAAAAAAGGACCAACAAAGACTGCTAACCATCTGCCAACATCCATTCATACTCTCCTTCTAAGTAATGTCCATAAAGTTTTAGTAAAGACAAAAATGTCAAGATATGGAAAGGTAACCAAATTGTCTTAGGAGAAGGAAAGAGGGGGTTCTTTCTCAGACTGGAAAGAAGACGGAACAGGTATCATACTTTCCAAAAATTGTTCAAGATTTTTATTACAACTATCACTAAAAGGAACCTAATATAGTGAACTTACTTTTCTGACAGATGGTCTAGTCTTCTTGTGACTGTTTCGGGAAGTCTGGAAAGTCGCCATAACTATATTGCTATTGTAAGCAATCAATGAAGAGTTAATCCATAAAACATCTAAAGAAAACAAATGAAAAGAAAACAACTATTTTATTGAGCTTAGTGACTCAGGCAAGCATTCTATCCTAAAATTTCTTTAAATACAATTATCTAAAAAAAAATTTGCATCATAAAATTTACTTAGCAACCCAATAAGAATATTTCAAAAAATATCTAAATTCTGGTACTTTAATGAGATATCAAATTATCACAAATGTCTTAAAAAGTTCAAGTTATAAAGTTCTTTACCTTGATTTAATCTTACTACCCTTTATTACAAATAAGATATTTGAAAGCCTCAATAGGAAACATTTGGAAAACCTTCTAGAATACAAAAAAAGAATCCTACATTTCTCGCCTCCCAAAGTCACTCTCTACCTACAGGAACTGTGAATGATCTAGACATTATTTCTTGGGCAGAAAGTTTTGATAATACACAAAGGAGAATATGAAATCTGTACATATGAAATTAGGTCAGATGAACAAAACCAATGAATGTCCTTATATAGGAACTATTTCTTCAATATGATTATTACCCCACTTATCCGACTACTTTACTCTGAGAATCAAATAGAAAATAATTTATAAGAGGCACTTTGGAAACTATAAAATATATGTAAAAGAAAAATTTTAATGTTCATCTATGGACAAAATGATCAAGCTGACCAAAATTCTCAATACAAGGTTTAAGAATAAAGGTTTATATATTGCTAACACAAGAAAATAATTCCTTTAATTCTCCCAGGCCAACTGACTCTCCTTTCTTCCCCACAGCTCTCTGACAATTGCCAGAAACCCTCAGAAGCAAAATGGACTTGCTTCAAACTTTACAAAAATCATACAATATTGAGGCCAAGACAAGGGTTCCAGAGAAGTAAAACCCTCAAACTAATCTCAGTAAACCAGCACCATCTTTCTGGAGGAAAAGTCTATAATGCAAAAAATATTCCTCTCTATGACACAGCAATTCTGTTTCTGTGAATTCAGGAAAACAATGATCCTAGAGCACTTAGGGTCCCAACCAGAGTTTTTAAAACACAAAATAAATGTTTTGCTAAGAGATTTAATCCTCAGGACTGGCAGAGTACTCCAGTTTTACAATGAGAAAAACTGAGGCAAGAGAAGTTAAGCAATTAGCCTAAGCCCACATAGTAAGCCAGTACAGCTAAAATTCAAATCCAAATCTTCAGGACAGAGTTCTAAGTAGATTCCACAAATTAGTGAGGCTTCTTCCTTGGTCAAGAAAGGTTGAAAATAAAATTTACTATCCTCCTCTGGGGGATTTACAATGCAAGGTAATATAAAGTGGTTGCAGAACAAGTCAAGGTATCAGTAATTCCAATGTGAGAGATTAAAAAATCCAAATCTTCAAACTCCAACATCCAGGCTCTTAACTGCTCCTCTAAACTTTATAATAGAAATAAGGAGGCAACTCCAGATTCCAGAAACAGGAAAGTGGTTAAATAACCTAAAGTGCTTTCCCCTGATAACAGGATGGCAGTCATTAAAAACTGCTGAAGGACAGAGGAACAGCATACAAAGCATCTTTGCTTTTTCTGACTCTTAACCTTGCTTGAAAAGGCGGAGTCCTGAAAAGAGATGGGAAACAGCAATTACCTCTGCATCTGGTGACTAAAGTCAATAGAGACAAGATTAAACATTAACTCACAGGAGACTTTGCCAGGAAAGGTACTGACCAATTATCTGGATGTGCTACTCACCTAAACTGTGACATCCCATGTCCCTGAGGCAGAAGAGAGTTATAAGGAGTTGAGGTAGGGAAGTAGGTCAGGGTGCTCTGAGATAACATCATAGATTTGAACCTCGAGCTACCCCAATTCACTTTATCTATATCATTCCCAAATAAAATAAGTATTATCTCACATGCAAAAATCAATCAGAGACTATCTATGCCATGGTCCACAAAATTGAACCTAACTCATATTTCTTGTAAAGCAAAAGGGAAAAATCATCTTTAGCAATTAAGTAAAGATAGATGGGAGAAAAAGAAAAATAGAGCAAAGGTTTCTTCACCATTTTATATAACTAAAGATAAAGTAGTTTCAGATAGATCTCAAAAAAAGGAGAAAAATACAGTATTTTTCCCAGAATACCTTTGTGTTACACACAGATATCTTTGTTTTATGATAATAAATATTTTACTTAATGCATTTTTGCTCTGCCATATTCTGGGTGAATAAATACCAGCTCTAGGCAGTGAATAACTATGTTTTTCTCTATATCCAAATTAAAATGAACTTAGATCATTTTTTTAAAGCACATCAGAAACAAGAAAGTACAAATGAACCAGGCAAGTAACTGAAAAGTAAGCTGAAATTCAAGACACAAAATATTTAAATAAATGAAGTTCCTATAGAGGTAACAAAAGAGCAAAAGAGATATTAATGCAAGGTAAAGTTTAAGAAATATCAGAATGCAAAAGAAAACAAATTGAAAGTAAAGAAACCATTATAGAAAAGAAGACACTTTGAATAAATTATTCCTATCCTTTGATCCTGCACTTTCACTTCTTAAAATTTATTCTACATGTATACATCCACAAAATTCATGAAGACATACATGAAAGAATATCCACTAAAACAAAAGATGACAGGGCCTCCCTGGTGGCACAGCGGTTGAGTGCTGGGTTGCGAAGCTGCCCGCAGCCTCTGCAGCACTGGTTCGATCCCCAGCTGCTCCCTGGCCACCGGAGGAGGCTCCCACACAGTGTGCAGACCTCTCTCCTGCCGCCCGCTGCTCCCCTCAGCAGTGTGCTTCGGTCCTTCTGCCTGTTCTGCTCCCCGCTCTGGTGAATTCTCTCACCCTCCCGCACTTCTGACTGCACCCAGTGCGTGTATGTAAAAATAAATAAATAAATCTTAAAAAAATAAATAAATAAAACAAAAGATGACAACCAAAAATTATAAGTCCATCAATTCAAATAAATTATAATATATTCCTATGAGCATTCCCCAGCTGTTAAAGATCAAAACATATTGACATCACAGCAAGTCCACAGGATATTAAGGGAAAAAAGCAAGTTATAGAACAGTGTAAATAGTGTTCTCTACTTGTGTCTATATGTGCACACACAACTCTTACATATATGTGCATGTGTGTATTTGCACACACTTTGGACATATTATGATGGATATATACTAAACTCATGACAGTGGTCACTCAAGAAACATGGGATTTTAGTGTTATAGAATATCATATACCTATTGTATGAGAAGACAGATTATTAAGTAAAATAAGTAATGTTCCAGGAATGGAACATTCTCAAGTATAGAGTACATTTTGGGTCAAAAAACAACTGCGAATAAATTCATGAAGACAGAAATCATACCAGAAATCAATGGTACCAAATGAGAAATCAATGACAAAAAGAAAGTGGGGAAAACCTCAAATATGTAGAGACTAAAAAAAAATGCCTAAAGAAAAACAGAAATAAAGACATGAGATACCAGAACCAATGCGATACAGTAAAAGCAATACTCAGAGGGAAGTATATACTAATATAGGACCTACATTCAAGAAACAAGAAAGACCTAAAATAATCTAATCTTATACCTTAAGGAACTAAAAAAGAGGAACAAATGAAACCAAAATTCACTAGAAGGAAATAAAAATTAGGATGAAATAGAAAACAAAAGACATGCCAAAAGAGCAATGAAATCAAAAGTAAGTTTTTTTAAAAAGATATGATAAATCTTATGTTAGGTTCATTTTAAAAAGGGTGGTGGCGGGAAGAAGAAAATTCCAATAAATAAAATAAGAGAAGTTATAACACGTATTCAGAAATACATTGTTATGTCAATTGGATAACCTAGAATAAATTTTTAAAAGCATATAACCTTCCAAGAATGAACTAGAAAGAAATAAAAACCTGAACAAAATAATTACAATGGAAACTGAACAATAATAAAGTCCCCCCAAAAAACAAAGGCCCAGGACCAGAAGAAGGTTCTACCAAACTTTCAAAGATAAGCTAATACCTTCCTTCTCAAATTCTTGCAGAAAATTGTGAAAAGGGAATACTTCCAAATACATATATATGAAGCTAACATTACTCTGATGATAAAAGCACACAGGGGCCAGACAGAAAAAGAAAACTACAGACCAATTTCCCTGATGAACATAGATACAAAAATCCTCAATGAAATCTCAGCAAACTGAGTTCAACAATACATCAAAAGGATCATACATCATAATAAAGTGGGATTTATTCCAGGGATTCATGGATGGATGGTTCAGCATATGCAAATCAATAAATGTAATTCACCACATCTATAAAAGGAAGACAAAAATCATATGATCCTATCAATAGACGTAGAGAAAGCATCTGACAAGATTCAGCATCCATTTATAATTTTTTTAAAACTCAATAAAATGGGGATAAAAGGGAAATTCCTCAGTACAATAAAGGCCACATATGACAAACAACTAACATTACACACACTGAAAAACTGATAGCCTTTGCTCTAAGATCAGGTACACAACAAAGATGTCCACTATCTCCTCTATTACTCATCATGGTACTGGAAGTTCTTGCAAGAACAACATAAAAGGAATCCAAACTGGGAAATAAGAAGCAAAACTGCACTATTTGCAGATAACATGATTTTATACACACACACACACACATAAAACCCTAAAGACTTCACTGGATGAAATATTAGAAACCAGTACAGAAAATAAAAAGGAAAAAAAAAACAAGAACAGACAATAAAATCAATATACAAATACACAAAAGTATGTTCTTTCCTATATGTAAACAAACTGGAAGAGAAAAAAATCAAGAAAAACAATCCCATTTACAATCTCTGCAAAAATACACAGGAATAAACTTAACAAAGGAGATGAAAGACCTATACATTGAAAACTATGTCATGATGGAAAGAGATAGTGCTGAATTGAACAACTGTGAAGGAAAACTTCAGCAAGGACATGAATTTCAAAGGGACATTTGGTGGAAAGAGTATTATCTTTAAAGAGAAACTAGTTGAGGCTACCTA